GGAGGCTGAACTCTCCTCCAAAACTCCGGAATTTCATGTGGAAATCAATACATAGGGCCTTTGCCACGATGGTTAATCTCTTCAAGATAAAATCTTCCTATTCCCCGACATGTCCTATCAGCCAAAACAATGATGAATCTGTCGAACATATTTTCCTTCAATGTCCTTAGGTGAAAGCAATTTGGTTTGAATGACTGCTAAACTATAAGGTTAATAAGGACGACATCGTTTCATGGCCGCAATGGTTAGAGTTGCCCATCAACTCGGGTCAATGGGCACACTAGGATAAGGATTGGATGCTCACTTAGGTTGCCTTCATGTGTTGGCATATTTAGAAGGCAAAATGCAACCTCATCTTCAACTACCGTGATATTAACCGTTCTTAGGTCCTTATTGCCATCTTTAATGATGTGGGTGCTTTTCTTGAGGCGAACTGTGTCAATGGGAATCAACCTACCACAAGCTTTGTTGGCGTTGATGAGGTAATTAGTTGGACCTCGCTGATCTTCCCTTTCATTAAAATCAATGTGGATGCAAGTTGGGTATCTTCATGCGGTTCGGGGTTTGTGGGGATTGTTGTTCAAGACGAGGAGGGCAAGTTTTTAGTGGCTTAAAAGCAAGAAATTGTGGCTCGGTGCGCGATTCAGGCTAAGGCCATGGCTGCAATCTGGACATCTCGCTGGGCTATAGAAAGGTTATTTTGGAATCTAATTCTCTCAAGTCTATTTCATGCTTGAATGACTCGTTAGAAAATGGAAGCTGGAGAGCTTATCCCATTCTGGCGAAAGTTGAAAACCTTGGGGCTTCCTTTCAGGACTGTCACTGGTCTTGGACTCCAAGATCAGCCAATCAGGCGACAGATTTGTTGGCGTCAACGAGATCTCAGGAGATGAATGATGTTTCATGGGTCGATCGACCTTCTTCTTCTTTGGTTTATGTACTTAACAATGATGGTTTACCATGTCGTCCTTAAGTTGTGTTTGGCAATGTAGGAGGCGACGTCTTTGCACATGGTGTGGCATCTGTCTCTCTTATAGCCCCCTACAGTGCTCAATTATTTGTGTTTTGCTTGCTGCTTGCTTTATTGGTGGCTCTCTATGTAATCTTGGCATCTTTGCCCTGATTATGAGCTGGTTTGGTATTGTTGTGCTTTGAAGAAAAAGAAGCTTCTGTTGTACTGTGAGAATAAGTAGCGTTATAAAACAGCAGCGAGTTTGGTAAACTTTTTTGTAAAAGTGCTTTTGGAAAGAAAAAAAAAGCAATATGATAGTGTTTGGTAAACTTTTATGTAAAACAGCTGTGATTGTGTGAAATGATAAAAAATGATATAATACTATATTATTATTATGATATTTTATTTAATATTACTATTTTTATGTGAGGATTTTGTGTGGCAGTGGGGCCCACACCCTATTTCCCTTATCCATGTGTCTTCCTTTCCCTCTACACCCTCGAACTCCCTTAAAAACTCTCAACTTTCTTTCTCTCTCTGCACTCTCTCCTCCATCGAGACAACCCCACGCACAAACCTTCGATCTCAGACCATCCCACCACCAGATTATCATCATGTACACCCCTATGAATTTAACCCCAAGTTTTGGTTACGGGAATGGTGTTTTGGGTGCTGGGGATAAGAAAATTTGAGAACTCAAATCCCTGAGCTCTCCGACAAGAATCAGGACAAAATTAGTCATTTCTCTTCTGCCTATTTCCCCCATCTCTCAGATTTCTCAGTCCCCAAACACCAAAACAAACCCACCTCTTGGATTTCATCACCCATCCCCCCTCTACGTATCCCTCCCCCACTATTCACATTCCCCCTTCAGATCCCACCTCCCTATTTCCCCATTCCTAATTCCCATCTCTCTGCGGGAATCAAAATGAGGAGCTCACTCTGCTTTTGGTTTGCTTCACCGCACACTCCAATGGCTTCCTTCACTGTCCCATGTCCCAAGGCGTGCGCCGCCCCCATTACCTTCCTCGGTTCCTCCACCCACCTCTTGGATCTCATCGTCCCTCCCTTATCTACATATCTGGCGAAATAAGAATATCAACTATGAAGATTCGATCTTCAACCTAGCAAGAAAGAGTAACATAGGAGGGTACTTTTTAGATTGTGAAAATTTCATTAAATTTTACTGTTCACCCGCCTCTTGAAAAAAAAAAAGTTGGTTTTGAAAAGTATCATTTTGCTACTTTTCAGCTTAAAATGACAATGACTTTGAAAATAAGCAGAGTTATCAAACACAAATTTTACTCCAGTTTTTTTTCATCCCGCTTTTTTTTTAAACACCTCAATGACAAACCAAGGCTATGAATATCGAGTTTACCCAAAAAAATAAATAAATAAAAAACAGTGGAACTTTGTTCAACTCGACCTCCTCTTTGCTATCAAAGAAGATGAAAATTTCCTACCCAAAAAAAAAAAAAAAAAAAAAAAAAAACATAACTTTAAGGTTACAAAAGGGTTTAGGGTTTTTGTCACGTTAGCTTCTGTTTGGCTCCTCAGAAAGTAATTTTCTCAGAAACTTTCTTTGAAATGGGTCCTCGAGTAGTGTGCCAAGTCTGCAACGAAGCACAATCCAAATACAAGTGCCCCTCCTGCCGCGCACCTTAGTAAGCTACCTAATCTTTCCTTTCGATTCTTTCTTACTGCTATCTCGTTATTTTCGCATAAAATAATTTATAAAAAAAATTCATATCTTTTTTCTTGCAGTTGTTCTGTGCCCTGCTTCAAGAAGCACAAGGGTATGATGATCCTAAATTTCAAAATCTATTTAATTTCTTAATTTGATGATTATCTGGGGCTTAATTTTGAGCTTATTTATGAAAATTGCAGAAAACCCATGTTCTCTTCCAGTTTCTTCCGAGGAAAAACCACCAAGTAAGATTTTTTCCACTCTACTTTGAGCTTAATTAAACTGCTTTCATATGCTAATTTGTAGTTTATTTTTTGTTTGTGAAAGATTGGTATTTTGATTCTTGGTGCACTGATTTTCAAGAGACTTGTGTGCTTTGAGGATTCTGATTATTTTCGTTCTTGTTTATTTCTTACTCTTCAGCTGCAGGTCCAGAGCTACTGGTAGAGAGGCCATTACTTGTGGAGGAACCGAGCCAAGTGCTGCAAAGGCCGCAACTTGAGGCGATAGGTAAGGATTTATATAACTAGCTTGGAAATGCATTAGAGTTTCTTTACTCATTTACATAAGATGTGCTATTGGGATTGCTGGAAATTGCAATCTATGGGTATGTAATTAGGGAGGGGAGTGATGACTAGAAAGTGGGATGGCGGTGAGAACGATGAACATTGAAATAGGAGGATTAACCCTTCACCTTTTTGGAGAAGTTGATTTGCTTGTGGTGCATACTAGGACCCAGGTTCCGACTTGCAAAATTTAATTCAAACTACTTTTTTCTAAAGGTGAATTAGGAGAATGAACGACGTTGGTTTGAAGCCAAATCCAGAATAGAAGGTTGTTTTATCGGTATAGACCAATAAGAGGATAAACAACCTGCAAGAGGGTTTCTACAACTAGGTTGGGCATAAGAGAAGACAAGGTTTATGGTCTTTATGCTGAATGAGTTCATGGTGTTACTGTATCTGGTAAACACTTTTCTGTTTCTTTCCATCATTCTGCAATTGCCTTTCTCTCGCAATCTCTAGAAGGCTCGTTTTACAGGCATTTGAGGAATTTGTCTATGTGTTGACTTGTGATGGTTCTCTTTAGTGAATCCATCAGCTTGGTAGTTTTGTTTAATTTAGTGTAGACTAATCGGTTATAAGTGGCCAGGGCACCATTTTAATGTTCTGCAGTTAACTCTGCATCAGAGTTGTCCTACATGATTTGGCTCCAGAAACCCGTCGTGCATCTGCTTGTTTTTCCGCTTAAGAACTCTGGTTGAAGGATTGATTATATATGTATGAAGAAATTGTTGAGTTTGGCAACTAGTATGAAAATTTTATTGTTAAATCCTCGGCTGATGAGAATGCTCACCCTTTTATCAGGCCCTCACTTTGTTTTTTATCGCAGCTTCTTCCGGTGAAATTTGCAGTGCTTTGAAAGATGAGAACCTTCAGAAACTTATCTTGAGTATAGATTGTTCACCAGATGCAGAGAAGGTGAGTAGTGACATTTACTTCAATCGAGACCAAAGTCTTTTCGTTATCAAATATTTTTTATGTAGACGTGATACTCGTTCTGAAATCAAACCGTCCCTGACTAAAATGGAGAACACTGTTTGCTAATTGTGCAATCAGGAACTTGAGAAAGCTATGGGCGTGGACGTGTTTCGCGTATTTACCGACAAGGTGATTCCCTCTATTACTGCTACAAAATAATATTCTTCTCTTGTTGTACTTTTGTGAATTGTATTGGGTGGCTATACGACCATCAACATTTCACATGAATAACCTTTTGTTTGGATTTCTGTCGCCAGATCCTATCTACCATCGAGACGTCTTCGTCTTCAGCAAATGCAAACTCATGAAAATATTATGCTGCCATCTTGATCTTCTTCCTCTAGTTTCATGCCCTTCGTTGGCCGAAGAATTTTGTAATCGGGTTCAAAGTTGAAACCATGGAAAGATTAACGTGCAATCGCCAATGTAAGTTGAAGAAAAACACTTCTACATATAAACAAGTTTTAGTCAGAGTATAAATCTCTCTCCGAGTTTATATGTTTGGCGATCAATCCTCCTGTTTGTAGAAAACTACAACGAATACAGTCCCGAGATGCTTGTTTTGTATATGTGATTTTATCTGCCCTCATCTTTTGCTGATCAAGCATATGTCAATGTCTGATGACTTTGTCGGGGGAATCCCGCATACAACCACCAAGATAGGGAAAGGGATCCTCTCCGGATCCCTTCCACCTGAGCCTCCTGACCAACAAATCCGGACCCTTAAATTTGATAACTGCTAAAGTTCCCTTCCACCTGAGCCTCCTGACCAACAAATTTGGACCCTTGAAATTTGATCCCATGGCTAAAAACAAGAGGCTCCTTTAAAAGTTATAATAACTTTAACCATTTGATCAAATTACATGAATGCAGAAAACGATACCGAAGGATCTATCACCATCTTCTTCCATATCTTTCAGAATGGACTGCCTCGTGTCATGTTCCAAGAATGTTTGGCCAAAGAGAAATTGTCTAAGAATCCAACAACTAAGAGTTTTGGATCATGACACGAGCCGGTTCATTCTAGGATTTTCCGTCAGAACCCATCAACTCTGTGACCTCACTAATTAATAAACTTGATGACACTCTTTACAGTTTTACAGTTCCGACGGCGACAAAATCGGAAACTTGTAAAATATATTACAATTGGGGTTGTAATAGTTACAGGTTAGCTTTTGGTTAAATGGCAGTTTAGGCAGAAAAAGAAAAGAGAAGAGAAAATAAAAGCTACTCTCAGAGCTTTAGACTACAAAACTTAGCAGGCATTGAACCTTCCGTTATCCATCTACTCTCAACTTCAACCTATAACCTTAACCTGCAATGCACAAAAAGTTACAGCGCCGGTTATTACCAACTTCCAAACGAATTTGTTTATTATACGAGATATACGACAAAGTTCTGCCCTAGTCTTTATAGTTCCAATCGTCACGATCAAAATTGTTACTATTTAAGGACAATGACTTCAATCCGTCAAATCCAATTTTACAGAATCGTCAATGGGGAAGCATGTGTGTGGCACTTTTAACGCTTCCAAGAAGACTGGTTTACCCTAAATATGTCACTAATGTGCAAATTTTGTCGAAGAATTTGACCCAAATAAGCTATTGTCCTTATAGTGCAACAATTAGTAAACCTATAGACCTATATTGGGACAACTTAAGCTATACAACAATCTAGTGGAATGTCACCTAAAATCCTGATTTGGACCAAATAGAATAAAAGGTTAACAGACATTCACCTGGTTGATGGTTTTCATGAGTTTCAGGTCCCCTACTGGAACTCGGCTTGCCAGTAGTTGGCTGGGGCATTGCTTGGTTCTGTAAAAGGAGACGAACGAATAAACATTACAGGTATTTTTATGTGAAGACAAGTTTGTGATTGAGATTTCGTATTCGAAGCAACCATACGTGCTGCAGTGGCAACTGCATCTGTTGGGGACTGAAAAACTGCTGGTAAGGATCTGCAAAATTTGGCATGTGTGATTGGTTTGGATTTTGTGCCCTGAGCGAGTTTATCATTTGATCTGTCTTGTTGACTGCTGGAACTCCGGTAGGATCACTTGCAGGAATAGGCTGCATGTGAAATGGTGGTATAGGGAACCTAGGTCCCATAAGTGCAGCTGCTGTTGGCATGGGTGAACCGGCCATTACATTTGGAAATGGCATCATAGGGTGACTGATGCCGGCCATTTCCATTCCCATGCCCATGCCCATTCCAATTCCCATCCCCATGGGCACGGACATCATCTGCTGAACTCCAGGAAACATCATAGGGATCATGCCGTATCCCATGGACATCATCTGCAGAGATCGGTTACAATCTAATTTTGACATAAACAATGCACAAACATTTACAAATAATGTTGTTCTCTGGCCTTCCCTAATTCTTATTTTCTAAGAAAGTTCACCGTTTTGTTGACAAAAGATTGATGTTCTGTTAATTTGTCACTGTTTTAATCTTCTTCTCTTTTCGTTAAAGATTCGACTGGTATAATAACTTGACTAAAAAAAGAAATCATTTTCCAAGGACGTATATATCCAATTTCCCTGAATTTTGCTTGAGATTTCTTCCACCGTAAAAGTATGATAAGACATATATAGCATTTGGAAACGAGCATACCTGTACTTGTAACTGGAGAGATTTCAAGTACTCAATTGCTTCATCCAGCATTGATGCTTTGTCCGACTGGTCATACAGAATAAAAATGATTAAATAAAACATACTTATTAAAAATTCTTTCAAAATTCCAGTGACAGATTGTATTAGTGACAAACTTTGTTGCACCGAGGTATTAGTTCTTGTAAAGCCTTCATCTTTTCATTTATTCTATCTCGACGTCTCTGCACAGAGTTCTACATTTAGCCCCATTTCGAAGAAAAATAACCGCACATGAAGAAGGAAATGAAAAACCAGTTTTGATCGTCAACAGATTTATAGTTAAGTAGAAGTACAGACCCTCTCGGAGAGATTGTGGACCTCTGCAGCTCGCGATCTCTTTGTAGATGATGTCAATCCTCGGAGTTGTTTCTTTCCATTGGCAGATTCAAACTCAACATCCTTTTTAAACAAAGGAAAGAAAAAGAGCAATTATTTTCTAGAATCCAATATTAAATAACATAAAGGATATTAAAAACACAGGTATAAATTGCAAGTATAGGAACTATCATCGTCTTGATGGACTCTAACGCTCAAAGCTACAAACATGAACGCCCCCGCCAATCCCACCAGCTGAATTATGCATGGCATTGTAGCGCAAGAACATCAACTCTAGAGTCTAGACCAAATCAACAAAGATAATCCAAAACTAAAAATTCAAACTTTCCATCAAACCATCGCTAAATTTCCATATCGGTATTGGCTAACAATTAACAAGAGATCAACAAACCTAAACAACCAATTATCATCTGACTCTAATATCTGTCAATGCCTATACTCCCAAGTTATGCCCTTTTACCAGCAACTTTCCTCAATCACTAATTTGGTGGCTACTCAATAAAATACTTGTTGCAGAAATATCAATAACCCGTTGGTTTCACGTACCAAAAATATTTTCTATATTAATTCAGGAAGTAACTCAAATTTTACATCTACTAAAGTGATTTGCGCACATTATTTTTCACTATTAATTCAGGAAGTAACAAAAGTGATTTGCGCACACTATTTTTCACTATGTGCACCAAATAAAGGTGTGCATTAGGGAAAAATGAATGTTAATACAAGTCTCGTGAAAAGTGTCGAGCAAGCCTAGGATGAATAATAAATCATTAGTCCAAAACAAATAAATCAATCACTTTCCATGTATTACACACCATTATTTTCTTCAAATAAATCAGTTTAGTTGGTAATTTATGCAGAACATTTTTTCATACTACGTAACATTAAATCCTACAAATCTTGGATGATTTGAATTGATTATTATTACTTTTATCGCGATTCCGTAAATCTAATCATCCATGCTCGTTGCACCACGTACAGTAGGAGAGATTTTTCAGTGTAACCGGTATACAAGATGGTACACCACGTGTCACTAAACAAACGGTGGGATATGTGTGCTAAAAAGTTAATAACTTAAAAAATACAATTTCTCATATTTCATATTAAAACACATAGTGTACTACTTGTGTTCCAATCATAATTAAAAATTTCTCGTGTAGTGGAACCTATTTATACACCGCAAGTAGGATTTCACTGACACGTGCACATCATCTAGCGAACATCTCTCATTCCCTCATTCTCTCATTCAATTTATTGTCAGAAAAGTTAGATCCCTCCTACTGAATGCCACGTGTAGGGCGTACAACTGCACACTCTAGCCTTTTCATAGGGTTATAACCTAGGGAGGAGAGAGGCAGCAGGGAGGGTGCGTAGTGCGAAAGCCTACCTACGTCACCACCCCTCCCTGCGCAAGTTAGCCGAGATACCCAGGCAACAAAACACACTGGGAAAGAGAACAATGGATTTACTATTCAGTTTGTATTTTCTGAAAACTAAAATTAAATTTAATTAAATTTCACATTTTTACGAAAATGTTGCCGTTACCAAGTAACCAGCAATTGAACGCATGTATTTACTAAAATTTTAAAAATAAAACTTATAACGAGTGAAATAAAATAGTCACTGAATTTTTTTTTTTTAATGATTATCAAACGATTTTTCGTTATTGAGGATATTTTTTATATCTTTAACGATTATTTCTGAAAACTAGGCCCTTAGCCGCCATTTCTGAAAACTATTTCGTTATTAAAGTTGATTTCATATGAAAAAATAACAAAAAGATTAGTAAAATTATTTTGTGTTTAATTGATGATATTTCTCATCACATTATTTTGTGTTGGTGACAGAAGTAATTTGGTTTTGTATTTTTTTAGGTTGAGAAAATAGGTGTTGTTAGTAGGTATATTAGAAGTTTAGATTAGTAAAAACAAAATTGTGCTGACTCACCCTGCTTTGAAACTCAGCGTCGTCGTCGGCGGCGGCGGCTTCTCTCCCTTTCCTCTTCCGGTTATCGGCAGTCAGCGGCGGCTTGGGAGCCGAATCCGGCTCGGCGCTCGCACTGGAGCCTCCTGGAGACGACGTCAGCGACATCTCACACGTGGTCAATTCATTTCCAGGAAACGACGTCGCAGCGGTCGCAGCGGTTGCAGCGGTTAACGACGTCGCTCCATTAGCCAAGCCGCCACCAGCGCCGTCGGGCCTAGAATCCAAAGCCCTAGAGCATGAGCCCACCAGCGGAGTGTCGCTGGAACCCACCACCGTCGTCGTCTCCCTTACCACGCTCTTCTTCGAGCTCGACGGCGCCGTTTCCGAAATCATAGGCCTGTTGCTGCTGGCGTCGTTGTTGTTGGTCGTGTCGGACTGCAGGAAGTTCTGGAGCTCGGTCCTCCTCGGCCGGTGGATCGGCGGCCTCGAAGCTGGCGCCGGCCCCGAAACCTGGGGCGTCCGGTGCTCGGAGGTGGTCGAATCGGGATAGAGGAGGCCGGCGGAGAAGGGCTCGTCGACGAGCGGGTACTGAAGCCACGAGGCCATTTCATCTTCTTGAATAAACAGGTGCGGGTTCTGAGCCGGCAGTTGGGGTTGGGGTTGGGGGGCCGGTCTGGTGATGCCACCCCCGTCGTCGGGCAATACGACGTCGTATTTGGACTGGTGCGATCTTTTACTATTGACTGAAGACCTCTGGTTCTGGCTCTGCATCACGACTTGGCCGTCCTGCCATAGCAGCTCCATGATATCGTCTTCCGGCCTGCAGTCGAATTTGAGCTAAACGAACCGAACCGAACCAAATCGGATTAATCAAGTGGGGAAAGACTTACATGGTTGATTTTCTGGGTCGGTTCAGAGCAGAGGTGGTGGGAAGTAAGTACTCGTAGTCCATTTCGAAATCGGGGACGCGCCGATTCATCTTTTGTTCCGAAATCCACTCATTTGAGGCCTAATTGAAAAGAAAAAAAAAACCCAATCAGAAATTCATAATTTTGAATAAATCAAGAAATAGATTTTTTTTTGGGTTATCACTTACGGATGCAAATAATTGAAGGGAGTTGGATGAGGAGGTACTTGTTCTGCAAGTTTGAACCGGCCATGGAAGCAGAGGAGGTAGTTGCTCTCTGAGTCTCTGAGTCTCTGAATCTCTGACTGGTGGTGCAGAGCAAAAGAACGGTACTTTAATTGGGTTTCCAAGAGAGGATAGCTTAAAGGTGGGTAATGGCGACGGGAAATTAATGGAGAGAAATCTCAAGCGAAAAACTGCTAGCGTTTGTTTGGGATGACAGAGATAGAGAGAGCGTGTGTGTATTTTCAGTGGATTTGCCTTTTGTGTTAATATGTTGTTGTGCGTCGGCAGATAAGTCTGTCTCTCCGAATAATACCAAATAATAGGAAGCAAAAGGACGAAATGAAGTTTTGACGCCATCGAAGGCAAACTGTGTGTCGTTCCCAAGTTTTATTTGTTTTTTCTTCTCTCTCATCATCTCGAGAAATTTTTCAGCATGTCAGAACTTTTTAAGATACATCAAGTGTCTAATACAATTAGTTAAAATTCTTTTTTCAAGTTTATAACTAATTATTTTATGATACGATAAAATGTCGCTAGAAATTCCAACCCAATTGAAAGGAAAATAGTATCTCGCACAACAAGATAACATATTCTCAAATAACAAAACATAGGCAAATTACGACACATCTTTGAACAAAATATCCCTAAGCAAATCAAGAGGTTTTTCAAACCACACAAACTCTTGATTACTACCAATTCCCACTCGAGCAAGGTGATGTGCTGCCGAGTTACTTTCCCGCTGAATATACTGAGCAATTTCACTATCCTAGAACACTAAAAAATCTCTTCATAATCTCATATTATATGTTTATGAGTAACTAAGCTCCACGTGTTAATGCCCCACTTAATTATCAACATCTTAAAACTCAAACTCAATCTCTCTCCATTTATTAGGTTTTACCACTATCATGATGCATATTGTACTTGAAGTAGAAACAACTTACCAACAACTCTAGCCTCATTGCAACCTATTTCAAACTAATCCAATTAATATTTTCATGTGTATTAGTTTGGGTGGTGTTGTTCGCACATCCATTTGTACTTTTCATACAATTTTTGTTTATTTTTTGCGTAATGTTAGAAAGATTAAATTTTAAATTGAATTTGCAAACTAAATAATGCGTAACTAATGTTAATTAACGCGTGATAATAATCCAAGTGTCAACAACCACATCATTTGGTTTACAAAATTTAGTTTAAAATTTTGGTCTTCCTTGCATTACCCTTATTTTTTTTTTTCCTTTTGATCTTCTCTAATTCCTTATATCCGAGTAACAGAAATTGAAATGAGTGTAGAAAGTTAAAATGAGAATGTACTTTAGTTTTATGTTTATGAGTTCACTTGATTGGTGAAAAATATCATCAAGGTGGCGGTCTAGTTATAAGTAATTTCTCTCTTGTTGATCCCTCATTCAAAAGAATATTATTTGGGTAGTTATAGCTTTTCAATTGCAATTTGAGACAATATATAATAAATAAAGAAAGATTGTTAAAAATTGAAATTGGAAGGTCAACAAAAATTAATACCATTGGCACTTGATGAGCTCGAGATAAAGACTACAAAAGATTGACAACAAGGTTTAAGTGGTCGTTTATAGCACTCAGCCTCTTTGTTGATAGTTAAACCAGACTATTGAGTGGACATATATAGTGCTCGGAACTGCTCTTTTTAGTTCTATTGGGCCAGTTTTATATGTCTAATGCTTTGGTCTCTTTCTCCTTCTTTGGATCTTCTTTGGGCTTTCACTGGGCCTTCTCCAGGCCTGTAGTAATTTAGGGGTCTAAAACAACATCTCATTAACAAGTCCCCATGCTCCTTGTTTAGAGGTTTCTTCTTGGGCATGGAGTTGTAACAGCCAGTCAACTCTAAAATAATACTTGGTTTATGAGCCTTGACAAGAAATATATGTTTTCTTAAAGCGCTCTGGTTTTGCTTTCCTCTTTAGTGCTTGGATCTTTCTCACTCTATAGTGCTAGTAGGAATTCCATCAGGTACCCAACTCCTTGATAGAAGTAGAAGCGGTTGGGAGAACTGTGCATGTAGTATACGTGTCCTTTGTTGGTTGCTGGCTTAATCGAGGCATCTTTTTGTTAAAAGCATAATAGACAGGTGTGACCGCGTGAGCTGCGAAGTTATTTCATGTCCTTTCTTTTTTTTTTTTAAATGAAATAAGTTGGTTTCCACCTATCATGACCTCGTCATTTTACTGCTTCTTTTTGGATGGTCGAGATTGAGCACATGTGGCTATATTAACTTAGCCTTAAGGTAGTTTTTGGTTTTAACTTTGTCTCCTTAGAGCAACTCCAGCGTAGGCTGGTGCTCGGGGGACGGGGGACGAAATAGGGCCAGATAGCCGGCCTTGAAGCTCCAGCGTGGGCAGTTCGAGGGAGAGTGAAGGCCCGAGCTCCAAGCCTGTGATGAATTGCCAGCCCGAGAGCCCGAGTGGATGGCAGAATGATGGCATTCTGAAGCAACTCCCCAAAACTAAATGTCTTCTTCTTCTTCATCCTCTTTTGCTGTTGCGTTTCGATGGAAGACGATAACGATGATGAATCACCAATTAAATCACTTGGCTTGCAGAAGACCGAGACCAGGACTGAGCTATGGGAGAGAGCAATGCGCAGCTTGTGCAAGTCGACGGCTTCAACGCCGCTGTCGTCAGCGTAATTGGGGAACTGGTGAGGTGAGAGGTTGTAGGCGGTGAAGAGGTCTCGGAGGTCGGATGGGTGTATGTGAGATGGGTTTATGGATATGAAAATTGGGACCATGACTTGTAAGGGAAATGGCGATTTGGACTTTGATGGCGTTTTTATGGTTTTTTCCATCTGGGTTTTGCCTCTGCTGCTCACCCATTTCAACTCCATGCTCTTGATGGACATGGCGGCAACAGTCGTAGCCACCACTGCACTGACCTCCATTCTCTTTCTCTCTACTTTTATTCTGCGTCGACAGTGGAAGATAATGGGTATACGTAATTGTCTTTTCGGGTAATGACACATCGCGTAAAGAGAACCATAAAAAATCTTATCCGAAATTATAAATAAAAAATTATTCTGTATTAATTATAAAAAAAAAAAAATATTTTATTGCCTATTGCCAGGGCTATTCAAGTGCAACGGTAAAGATGCAAAATGCAGTTACTATTCATTAAGGGCAGTTACTGTTCACAGGATGGATTGAATAGTGAATAGCCTGGGGGGAGGGCTTCCACGCTGAAGTTGCTCTTAGTCAAACGCTACTTCTACTGTGCATTTTTCCACGACCAGAAATTGCGTCTATTGGTTTCAGTCTTTGTTCGTATAGCTTTTTCAAGTTGGTTTTTCTTATGTAACCGGATCCCCTCTTGATCCAATAAAACTGCACCTGTTGAGCAGACGATCCGGACCGTTGAAATTTGATTCAACGGCTACAAACAAGAGGCCCTCTAAAAGTTATAATAATTATAACCATTAGATCAAATTTCAACAGTTCGGATCACCTATTCAGCAGACTCAATATATATTGATCTGGAGGGGATCCGGTTCCTTTTCTTATCTGCACTCTTTTTGGCTTGAAACTCGAACCGGTGGTTATCGCTGATATAAGTATACGTCGGCAAGAATCAACTCCGGTGGGCCTAGTTGGTAGAACAAAGTAGGACGTCCTTGCACAATTGGTAGACCAAGTAGGCTGAGATGACCAATTTGAATCTGTACTTAATCAATGTAGTAATTAGGCCCTTAATTCTGCATAATTCATTTACTTTTTGTTTCTGAGACCCCAAAAATAATTGTCCTTCGGTAGGCTTGTAAGCAGTTAAGCAATTTCTCTATCACCAATTGATTTCAAATCTAAATTTTTTTTATGGTGTCAAAACATTTTTGTTTACATATAAAAGCTTAATAGTCACACGTGAATGAGTTTCTGTTCTTTTCAACAAAATGGATGGCAAGGTTTTAATTCTTACCAATTTCAAAAGTAGGCCATTAGAATTGGACTTATTTCAAATTTTTTCTTCATTCTTTCATCTACATATACATATACATATACATCCATACATATAATATAACATATATATGTATATACATATATATACAGGCCTTTATAGAGAGGGATTTCTATTTTTGGAAGAAAAAAAATGAGGGTTAGTTATGGGACTTCACATCAAATTTTCAACGATCCGAACCGTTTATGCTATAAATCTTGATTCATATATCATACTTGCAAGAAATCAATTAAGTTCGAAATCATTTGTCTGTTCAATTGTCATAATAAAATTTCAATGTTCTTGTATCATAGTGTTCTTCAATGTTTTGAACTCAATTAGATGTTTCAAATATTTCCAATTTGATGAATATTTTGCAAGAATGATCTACGACGTGCAACATGAAAAATAGACAATTCAAATTGTTGAAGTTCGATGTCATTTGAGCCCCACAACTAATTTCAATTATTTTTTTAAATGGAAACCCCTTCCCTTATAAACTCTGGTGTATTATATTACATGACTAATTCGTTTAGGAGGGCCATGCTTCCATCAGGACATGGAGAATCTAATGCATTAGTCGACAATGATTAGTTTTCTAAATTGAATTAGTCGGTTAATAACTTACCACTCATTTGGATATGTTCTTAAAATGACTGAAACCATTTTTAGAGAAAATATTTTTTTGGGTTTCAAAAGCACTTTAAGTATTTTATACAATAAACACAAGTTATGTGTTTCTTCAAATAAGCACCTTAAGTGCTTTTCTAGGATGTACTTTCATTTTGTCTAAGGATTGTTTCCAAAAATATTTTTACCAAAAATATTTTCAATCATTTTAAAAGTACATCCAAATGAGCTCTTAATCCACATCCACTAATCGCTTTTGGTTTAATGTACCTCAAGTGTGGTTACGTTTGTACTATACATTGTTGAATGAGAGAATTGCTTAATTGGAAACTTTAACGAAAAGTTTCTGGTACTGTTCAATTTAACGAAAAACCACATTTTTACACTAAAAGGTCAATTATGGTACTATTTATTTTACCCTTTATTTTGTTCTTATAGTTAAAACTCAAAGTTTTCAAGTCATTTTCGTTAGTTTTCCTTTGTTTAATTGCTTGGTCAAAAATCGCAACCCGATGATGTCCAACTTCTAAGTTAGTTTTGGTGATGAAAGTTTGGCATAATTTTAGTATAAATTAATTGGTCTTGTCTTGTTTTCTTACCAGCATCTTAAATATTTTAAAAGCTCAAAAGTCGACGTTAAAATAATAACGTATGTGAGCGGTCGGACCTCAACTAAAGCGCATGTCACAAGTACTCTAGCGATTTCAATTCATTATCCAAGATGTCTGATATTTATCGAGACAAATTCTCAGTTAACACATTTCACCATACCTTTAAGGAAGCAAATGTTTGATAGTTTCTTGTATAAATGGAAACTTTATTCTTAAGAGAAAAACACTTTAAGTCAGTACTTTAGAAGAAAACAAATCCAATAAAAGGACACAAAAGGATTTACACTCAAGATGCTTTCGTAAGTTTTCTAATATATATTGTAAAAGCCAGTGAAATGCCAAAAAAAAAAAAAAAAAAAAAAACTATATTAGTTGTGATTAGAGAATAATGAACTCATCGATGTAATGATTAGTTCTAACTGCATCTGTATGCATTCGATGAAAATTTGCTTTGTATAACACTAATAGTCTAATACGACGCTGGAGAACCCTCTTTTTTATTTTTTTATTTTTTATTTTTTTATTTATTTTTTTAAAAAACCAATTGGTGGCGAAACTACGAGAGTCCACCTTTATCGGGGCTGAGAAGACTCACAAAAACATTTTAGATTTTTCTTAATCATTATTGTATGATTCATCAGCACTAGAAATGCAAAAAAAAAAATGGTAGGGGATTAGGATGTATCATCATGTATGTTATGAGAGTTTTGCTCAGGGGACCAAAAGCACACTAGGTCCATCTAACCCAAGTTTGTGCAAACATTTATGCAATGGTTGTGAATTAGGGAAAAAGATTTTCGTCGGATCATTTTCTTGGGAATAGTAGGGATCTCGTGATTGTGACCGTTTATCGTACATCGTACGGTCATAAATCATTTCAAAATTTAAAATTTAAAATTAAATAAATATATAATCGGGATCCGTGAATTAGCTACTCTTTGGGCCCTACAACAAGGGTTAAATTGTCCCGATTTGAGCAATTTTCCCATGATATTAGCTCCATCAGTATATTTCTTTTCTTTCACGAGTTAGAGTTTTTCTATAGTGATGCTTACTATGGGAGCTTTAACCCTACAAATTTTAGGGCAACATTCCTTGGTTAAGCTCATTGCAATTTCCAGGGATTTGAAATTTAGACCATTATTTAGGGATGGGTTAGGTCATCTCCAACCGAAGGGTCCAGATGGTAAAAGGGTCGAAAATAGCCCGAAAATAGCCCGAAAACCGTCTTCAACTGAGGGCCAGGCCAGAGGGCTGTGGAATCTGAAAGGGCCCCACGGAATCAGAGAGGGCTAGAGGGCCAGAGGGCTGGCCACTTCCAGCCAGCCAGCCCCGGGCTGGCCATAATTTTTTTTAAATATGTCGGATTTCCTATCGGTTATAATCAAGGAAGAAAATATCGGTAATATCGGAAATATCGGTAGTCCGAAAACACGGAAATATCGGGATAATATCGATATCGATAAAAATTACATGGAAACCACGGAAATTGTAAGAAAAACTTGGAAATTTTTATTGAAACTTTGCAGGATGTTTATTTAGTCAATTATCTATTAGTTTATCACAAAAAATTGGAAGGAAATGCATTGCATGATGAATTTAACATTATCAAGTTGATTATATAGCGAGCTGACAAACATTGTGAGTGTAGAAAATATGTATAAATTAATGAAAGAAGTCTAAACACACCATAATCATTTATATATAATGAATTAGTACAATATTTTACACTTTATACATTGTATGGTAAGATACATGAGTGACTTAGTACCACATAGAGTTCCTATGAGGTTCAAAATTTTCACTATCTTCATCATCTCTATGTGTAGAGTGAGTGTATTTTGAAGAGTAGTTAGCAACCATGGCAATGGTTTTCAAGAACCAAAACCCAAAAGTCAATAGGAAACCGAATACTTCGGTATTTTTCGGGATTACCAAACAAATGGGATTTGGAAACCAATCCCATATCGAAAATTTCGGTATTTTTCGGGATGGGATTCCTGAACTTCAGGATGGTTTTGGTTTGGGATTTTTCGATTTGGGTTTGAGACTTTTTCGGTTTGGTTTGGGATTTTCCGAAATTTTTTCCAGCCCTACCATGTAAGTGACCAAATAAAAAATAGAAAAATTAAAAACCACATGCCATTGACTAAGTAATTAATTAACACAATTTAAAATATAATACCACAAAAAATTTGGAAAATGTGCAAATTTGTTTCTTGTAAAAAGAATTCAAAACAAAAGCATATATATTAATATTGTAGCATATTATCACACCAACACAAGTGGTATAGTGGTTAAGGCCTTAAGGAGTTAAGTGGGAGGGGTCCCCTCCATGCTCAAACTTGAGACTTTTCAAAATTTTCAGGAATTTTTGGATTAATATCGCGATATTATAGCATAATATCGCGATAATATCGCGATATTTTAACGAAAACTCATTGGATACTCATTAAAATATCGATAACCCAAAAAAACGAAAATATCGCCGATATATCGGCGATATTTTGGATATTTTCTTCCATGGTTATAATCAACAGGAATACATTCATACTAAATAATATGAATGTATTCATGTCGGTTAATGCTTTGAATTTTTTTATTTTTTTTATAGTTTTATTATTATTTTTTATTTACAAAATTTTGCTATAACTTTTATTTTACAAAATTTGTTTCAACCATTTCTATTCTATGTGAAAGTTTGAGCCTCAAG